TGAAGTCAAGCCCTGTCGCTGCCTAGCCCTCTGCCGCCTCTCAGTCTCTGGACCCTTCTGGTTCCCTCCCTCTGCCGCTCAGCCAGAACCTCTGAATAGGTACAGACCTGCACATCATCTCAGATACAAGATCATAAGCTTCCTGGCTAACCAAACTGTCCCTCTCTGCAGACAACCCTGTGTGACCAGTCCCGGATCTGTTTCCAGCATCTGTCAAATAACTTTGTGCTTTTCTAAATAAACAGTTGAACTTTTTACTCTGACTCCGTGGTGTTCTGCATGTGGGTTAGAAACCTAAACCCCAACATAACAAGAGCAAACACAGATTTGGTTCCTGAGTAAGACAGTTCATCATTTTGTAATTTAACTGACAGAGATTCCTTTTACAGAAACAATATAGAGAATATTCTAAAACATAGTTTTATGCTCTTGGTTTTAGAGAAAAAAATCAATCAGGCAGCTGTACCTCATCCAAAATGCTGCTACCAGTGTCCTTAAATCAATGCACATTGCAAAAGGTTATATTTTACAATGTTGTAGTTATATGCTGAATGCTACTGGAAACAAATATAATTTGAAGTTAGCTTAATGAACCATCTAGACCCCTGAGGTCATCTCAAATATGTTCACTCATCATTCCCAACAGGGGCCAGAACTAATCAAAACAGGGCTGAATTTTGTTTCTATGTTTCTCAACTAAGAAATAATTTCCTAATAAGTACAATGGTGCCATCCCAGACCTGTGTACTAGATGTGGAGAAGGGAACATTCCTCCATTGTATCTGGAAATGCAAGAAAGTTAAACTATTCTGGAGGGAGATTAAACAAGCTCTGGAGACTATACTGGGTATAAAACTAGTTTTTGACCCCAAATTGTTCATTCTAGGTTTATATCCTGACAGACATATGTCCAGAAATATTATTACTGCCTTGGATTTATGTCTACTACTGGCAAAATAAGTCATAGCACTCTCATGGAAGAGTACCAGCAAACCAAAATGCATTAATTGGATTAAGGAAATATCCACAACATTACCAATGGAAAAGATTACTTTCATTTTAAAAGGGAAACTTTCACTTTTTCAAAACATTTGGAGTCCTGTTATGGAATATATAGAAAACATGGATATGACGGGTGTCGGGGATGAGTTATAGTTGTAGTTGGTCCCCTGCAGTGTCCTAAAATAATCTTCATTTGTATACTTGACGACTTTGGATTATATATTCAAGTTTGTATTTTCTGAACCACGTACAATACTAAAATAATATGGGCTAATTTATGGAAAATAGAGAAACCGTTATTATTGTAATTGTTGTTTCTTCTCAGGGGGGTTTGGGCTTGGGGGCATTGTGTTTTGTTTTTTGTTCTTTTTTTTATTTGTTTGTATTTTCTCATGTACTCTGTGTGTCATAGGTGCTGCTCTAAAATACTCCGGAAAGACAAGTCGAACGCTGGACAATAATTTAACTACCCTGGACTTTTCCTTCGATGTGAGAGCACACTTATGTCCTGACTATTATTGAAAAATTGTTGAAAAACTAATAAAGATAATGTTGGAAAAGAAATCATTTCCAGATAAAGCTGATATCTACAGACACGCCAGCTGACAGCTTTCCGAGGGCCCAGAACAACACAGTCTTTTTGGGCCCCCACTCTACACCTGTACCCCCCTCTCTCCTGGGCCTGAGACAATTGACCCCTCCCCCTCGCTCTCGACGGGCATGTCTGCAGAAACTGTTGTTTCCTTTAGATTCAGAGTAGTTGTAAGAATGAATTCTGAAGCTTTTCACTGTGTAATATTCTAATATAACCCAAATCCTAATTAAGCCTAATCGTCTTTAACAATCCCCTTCATTTAGCTGTTGCTAAAGGACTGTTGCTATAAGCATGATTGGTGTTGATTCAATGAGTTGATGCAATCAGCTGCTTTTCCTTATATAGAAAAAAGTGGGAGTGTTGGCCTAGTGGGCTATGAGAAGCTTGAAAGTACCCGGTTCGATCCCCACTGCCTCCAATCAGGGTTCCTGACAATTTCCCTTAACCCCCGCCGCACAATGGCAGCCCACTGCTCCCTGAGGGGATTGATTAAATTAACAATTAACTTTCACACCATTAAGTTGTTTAGGAAGTTCCGCTCTGCTTATATACACCTTAGAGTATCATTGGTACATCTGTTAGCCTGGTTCACAGAGATCTTTGGTCACATGCAAAAATATGTGAATTGGTTAAAACCTACTGAGCATGCTAAAACTTGTTTTAAGTTGGTTTGACAAGGGAGAGAGCTTGTATTTTTTGTCTTATATGTGCTTTTTTATGTATTATTTTATATAGATTTTGTATTCAAAACCTGCATTGACTCAAAACCTCCCTCAGCCCTCCATTAGACCAACATCTCACTGCCAACCTATGTGATGAATGTCCGTTTTGTTATTTTTGTGTAGCAGTTACGTTCTGTGTGCAAAGTAAATAATATAAGGATCTAAAACAAAACTAGCATGTTTGAATAATAATAATGATATATTGGTCCTTAAGGTTGAATATTATTGACACTCATAGTTGATTTTTTAACAAATCATAAAATGCATATCGGAGCCATTCTTTTCCTCTACATTTTTAATTAATTAATTATGCAGCTATATAGCCTTTTCAAACATACTCTATGCTTCTCAGACCAAACTGGATATTTAAATAAATTATCATACTGTACTCCAAAAATGCTTCTTTTATTTATAACGACTTGATAAACCGTCAGTGCAACTCAGCTACAAGCACATTCCTCTTTGTTTGGTTTGCTCAGGGGCACTGAGGCAGTGAGCATCCCCTCCCCTTGGCAAATTTTACAGCACATTGTTTTCAGTTCACAGGTTTGAACTGAAAAAGCTTCTCAGGACTCCTCCATGTCCTTCAGGCAGTCCTCTGTGACCCTGCCATTCGTTAATATGGCTCTCAGATTGCTGGCTGAGGCTCTGTGTCATTTAGTCTTTTTGAATGTGACAAGCTACCATTAATTTGCTGAAATATCTTGTGCAGACAGTTCACGGCTCCTAGCATCGCCGGCCCGCTATCTCATCACGCTAATCTGCAGTCAACAGATGCCGTGGATGATGCCATTTACTGGATTTCTTTCCCCCCCTTCTTTTAGGAAACCATTTGCCTGCACTACCATTTCCCCCCCCCCTTTCTGTTAGTTATTTTGATTAAATGCAATGTTCTTTGCAGTCGGTTTAATTTCCTCTTTTTGGCACTCGGTTCACAGAGCCATGACATTGTAAGGGATTAGTTTAGAGGAGCACAGTTCCAAAAGTCCAATACAGATGGTGTAAAGTACACACACACACCAATGCTGAGTGCAAAGTGTTTACTTCTCACAAGTTAGTTTCAAAGAGTTTGTTAACACAGGAAAAACTTCACTGACAGCTTTCTTTTCAAATCAACATGAATTCAGTTTCTCTGTCCAATGAGAGGAGCAGAGTTGATTCTGAATCACCCCATTCTTGTTTTTGTATTCTTATTTTGATTCTCTAATCGGGCTTTGAATTTAAGCCTTGTGCTTAACAGCAGACTACCAATTATTACACGGAACCTTACCAAAGTATTCACATCATTCTTCATTTTCCATTTTATCGTGTTGAAGCCATAATCATTAACTAATTATGTTTTTCATTATATTTTTTCCCCTTGATTCTGATGCACCTCAATAAATTCCAATGCAAAAACATTTAAAACTAGAGGTTATTTTCCTCCCACATGCAAAATCATTGCAGCCTGTCTGTCACACAAAATTCAGTTGAAATACACTGATGTTTGTGGTGGCAATCTGAAAAAAGCGAATACTTTTGCAAGGCACTGTATTATTGTTTCCCAAGTACCACACTCATCAGTAACACCTACAATTATGACCTGATTTTAATTTAGAGAGTGAGAAATGAACCAGATTTGATACATTAAGAGGAAAGGGAGAAGAATATTTCTGAAATATTGAAAGAACTGCCTCATGGATTCATCTGTAGACACCCCCCTCCATAGAAATGCATAGAACAATGCAATGATGGCAGAACAAAGTGAAGTAATGCATTCATTCACCTCAACCTCACCAAAAGCACAGCATTTATTTGGTCTATGACGCTTTTCTTCTCCATTTTATTTTTCCTTTTCTTAAAAACAAACAAAACAGACTAATTATGAGTATTTATCCATACACATTCCTGCATTTTCTACTTTTGCCCTTCTGGAAAAAGAACCAGGTGAGGAAATGTCATATTTAGTCTATAAACCTCTGTCCAACATAATACAAAAATATCTTTTTTTTTCATGTTAAAAGTCTCTGTAGAAAAAAATGCCTGAAATATATAGATATCAAACATGTATATGTTTATTTGTATACAAATAAAATTTGATGCAAATTATCACCTCCCCAGCAATCCCCTAAAGCTATAGGTTTGCCCACATGGACTGAATCTTTCTGCTTTGTAACTCTGGAGTATGTGTGGATGCATGGCACCGGTTGAGCAAATACATCAACAATGAACTTTGACAGCTAGACATAGATCAGTGACCAGACCACTGTTCATTTCCAAGCATTGGTGGCAACAGAAACAGTCCATGGTTGGGATATTCTAAAATACTATTTTATCCTTGTCGTATGAAGGCGGGCCTGTGGGGCAATCTGCACACATTTACCATTCTCAAAAGGCAAATTTCATCGGTTGAGTGGAGCTATTGATTTCCATCTCAGTTTGAACGGAGCAAAAATCTCCAGATATCAATCAAACATTGACTGACATCAGTTCATCCTTTGTCTTGTTCTTTTTTATCCAGAATTACTCCATTACTTTTGATGGGTTTTGGCAGCATTCTGACCTTTAATCCAATGAACAAACACATCATTAGCAGTGGCCGGTCTTCTTGCTTTGCCTCGTTTTTGATAGTTACGTCATTTCCAACTGCACAGCTGCCACCTAAAGGTTGTTTCATGTTCAGAGGAGGATATTGTCTCCTGTCAGTTCAGAGCCATTAGCACTTTCAAGCCCTAGAAGGCTGACGCTTGGCTTCAGCTCAGGCTTCTTCCTCCCTGATCAACTCGGGTCGATTAGTGTGTGAAGCCGGCATCCACTCCTCTCTGAGCTCAACGATCTCAATGGGCCCTGCAGAGGAGGAGAAAAAAAAGGGGACACACATCGATGTGAATATCTGACTGCACAGAAGAGAGGCACTTGACAGTCAGAGCAACAACAATTGCTTTTTATAGAGCCAAATAAAAGGTATTACCACCCCCTCACAAGCACACATTCACAGGTTATCAAACTGAAAAGGAATGGTTTGACACATTTGCGTCTGAGGATTACAACCATTTTATGTCATTTCTTAGAGAACTGTCTTCTTTAGTCAAGTCTGGAGTAGTGGGTGACTGAGGCCAGAGCCCCTTCTGGGCCAGTGTTGCTCTCATGCATTTGATCCAGTTGTTGAGATATGTTCTTTCTCTCCAGAACACGATGCAGCTGAGGCCTCTGAATTTTAATTATCTTTAAAGGGCTGTGAAAGCCTCAAATTAAGCAAACCCTCCCCATCACTGCTCTGTAGGTTGAACTGGACCATCATGGCCTTTGGCTCTTTCTAACACGCATGACCGCATGACTGCCCATTAGCGTTCTTTCTTTGTAATCCTATGCCTTGAAAAGCAAGCATATGTAGCCCTTTAATGTCATGATGAATGTAATCATAACTTGGTGAAAATCATGAACAGAGGAAACGATGATCCCAACAGGAATGTAATGCTTACAGCCAACATATTCACATCTAAATGTATTGTTTTGAAACGATAAAGTCATGATTACACATCTTGCCATTGTAGACCAATACTTCCAATATCCAAAGTCCTGTTTTGGTTCATTTCTAAACCATAAACAAAACATTATAGATATACACTGATAAGTCTATACGTATATATTTATGTTGAGTATTGACACATATTGCTTTCACAGATTTCAGGCGAATAGCAAATTCTCTTATAACTATAAGAAGACAAAAGAACCTCTTAAATAATTTGTGTCAAGATTTCCTGCTGTAAAGGACTTTTAACTACTTATATTTGGAGGAAGGCCTGCCTTTAACTATGGATGTCCTATGCACCCTAATCCCACAATCACTACACAGTATATTCCATCCATCCATCCATCCATCCATCCATCCATCCATCCATCCATCCATCCATCCATCCATCCATCCATCCATCTATAAAAATGGATAAATTGATAG